AGACTCCGATGTCGTCAACAAAGATCTCTTTAATGGTAAGACTCGCTAAACCCGATTGCGGCTCATATTCTATGACAAAGTTTTTCGATTCTTTGATTCTTCTGTTGTTATGAAACCATTTGATGTCTGGATTTGGATTCGATCTTATGATGCACTCCATTGTTATCATTGAGCCCTCAAATACTGTCTGATTTTCGAGTGCTTTTACAAATGTCGGCGATTCTCCTGTTTTTATATAATTATATAAATATTTTTAAAAATATTTCATGAATCAAATATATTATTCTGTTTGAGAACTCTATTTATACCTTATATAAACTGTTTGTTATGCAGTTTTAGTGATTATTTATTATTATGTGATTAATTAATTTATTCTCAATTTATATAATTTTATAAACTTGTGTCAAATTTTTCTCAATATTGATTTAATTTTAATTTATTTTATATTTATTTATATTATTTATTACGTCTAAGCATTTTATAGAAAGTGTGAATTATTTTAAATTAAGTTGCAAACTATCATCGGTTTACTGCTCATGAGTGCATCCATACAATTATATCCCCATTTTCTACATACTCTCTAATGATCTCCAGTTTTACACACAAGCACTTTAAAAAAGTGCTTTTATATAGTTTTTATTTGTTTCAAAGTTTTTGGATTTCATTTATTTGTTACTAAATGTGTTGTGCTTTTAATTTCAGTGTTTATTAATTTCACAATCAATACCTTTGACAGTGAGTGTGGCTGAGGATGACTTAACGCCCGCTTTATTGATAGCTCTGACGGTATACTTTCCGGTGTCGTAAGGCTTTACGTTCATTATCTCCAGTTTCGACACCTCTTTGTCTCTGGAAATGCGGATAAAACGTGACGAACGGACCTTTCGATTGCCGCAAAACCAATAGATCTCCGGTTTTGGCGTTCCGTCGACACAGCATTCAAACACAGCGTTGTCTCCGATGGCAACCGACGACCCTTTGATCGGCACTTTGAATTCCGGTGCCCTCTCCTCCTTGTTGTCCAATACCTCCCATTCATCCAATTCCTGAATCTCTGTTTCTTCTCCTGACAACTGCTTTACGGCCGAAGTTTTTACTTCTGTAATGTATTGTATAATTATTTTTTAACGATTGCTTCTCTTTGTGTGTATTTTCTAAATTAATTATTTAATATTTATTTTCTAATTATTTGTAAATTTATTTGGATGCTTTTTATAGATTTGCATTTTCCATTAATTTTGTTTAATTTGTGCATTAATTTAGTTAAATTTTGTTGCATTTCAAGCCTGATTGCTAACCAAATGCTCGTTTCGTATCAAATTACACATTTTTAGAGGAATGCAAACTAAGTTTGTGTTGTATTTAGCATTTTGTGTGAGACATAACCAAATCAGGTCTTTAGCTATTTATAGATTATAAGCGCAAACGATATTTGAACACAACTGTCGTGTCGTATATATCGGCGAACAATCTCTAACGCTATCAACAATTTTTGAACAAAAGAGTATTTCATTTGAAAGAATATATGCTTTTCACTGAATTAATGACAACTTTAGCGGATATTCTTCCCTATTATTCTGATATTTGGGTTAATATTTTACAACATTATTATTATTTTGGTATTTCTTGTATTTGATATTATTTTGCAATTATTTTTTGCACATCACATAACATATTAATTTTATATCGATTTTATATATACTTTCTTAACTTGTTTTTAAAATTTGAATAAAATTTTTAAATATTCATTATATTATTGTATATTTTTCAAAACAAAATATAATAAAAATTCATATTATAAATGAACAATTAATTACTTTAATTTATAGTTAAAAATCGTAATCCCTATATAATAATTACAATAATTATTTCAAATTATATTTATTTACTGATTTAAGCACAAAAAAATCATTAATATTTTTAAAGTGGATAACGAGAACTTTGAACAAGTTTTTAAAATAATGCCAACAAAATAAAACAAACAAAATTCAACAAAAAAAAATCCAAAATAAGTTCATGTAATGATAAAAATTTCATGCAATAATCAAATGGTTGGGAATTTATACGAATAAATACAGCAATTATTGAAAGCAACAAATCATATGTGGAGTCGGAGTTTGAATTTGATTTGTTTTCATCTCTACGTTGTCTTACTTTCAACGGAGAGTCGAGCGGACGTCCGGTTTTGTCCGACGGGAGTCGACGCCACGCACTCGTAGAGGCCTTCGTCCTCAGCATAGGTTTGTCGTATGACAAGCGAACACGAGGCCGAGTCCTGAGACATCTGGCATACCATACCATCCCATACAACACATACACCCAAACGGCCACCGATTGTACGAATTAAAGTGTTAGTCTTTATATATTGTTATCGTTTGTAATAGTATATTAAACATATGTAACATTTACCTGAAAATCGCGGGTGGCCTCAACGAAGTGCCCGTCGCGATACCAACTGATCTTCGGTGTGGGAGAGCCCGACAGTGCGGTCACAAACCGGGCCGGAGAGCCCTCCGCCACAGTCAGATCAGTCAATGGTGTCATTTGTGGTGCCGTTTCTTTGTCTTCTATACAAACATCCGATAAAATACTTATTAATTTAATGCGAAATAAATTGTTGAATATATTTTTAATTATTCAACGTTTGTTTGTTTGACAATTTTTATAGTAATTAATGGTTTGATTTGATTACCTATTACTCTGAGTTTGGCAGAAGTGGATACTTTTCCAGCAATACATTTATACATTCCCTCGTCTTCGGCGAACGCTTCCGATATCCTCAATGTGTGGTAATCTCCGTCTTCAGTCATCCGGAAATAGC